GCCTCCACTCTGCGGCCTCTGTAGTCCCGGCCTCCCTTTCACGGACATAGGAGGCCACTGAGAGAGAGCATCCTGGCACTGGGTCAGGCCCTCCGTTGTCCTCAGAGGGAGGCTTTTGACAACATCTGCCCACGCACGTGTATCCCTCAACATCATGGCTGCTGCTTCCGTGGGCTCTGAGAGTGGGTCCGTCCGAGTCGGGGGACCCATGAATACCTCACTACTTGCTCTGTTTATTTTGAGGCTGCTTCCTGGCCCAGGGGGGGGGACGATGCCCGTTTCTGTCCTGTAGAGCTGGGCTCCACACTGAAGAAGCTGTTTGCGATTTCCCTCGGCACGCGCTTCACGTCCTTGTCGTTCTCGTGCTGGGTCATACGACGTGCAGTGGGCTCAGCGGGCCTGATGCCCCATCGTTTGTTCTTGTCCATGCCTCCCAGCTTCTCAGAGGGTGGACGCGGGCACATCTTCCCTGATCCCAGGCTAGACTGCATCCGCTCCATCGGTTTGAGCCACTGCCTCTGGATCTAAGCCCACGTCCCACAGGAGCCTGCTTCGGTGTTCAGTGTTACTAGCAATCCATTGCACTCCTATTTCAATATACTGTTAGTCAGAATATGTCACGTCATGTGTGTGATTTTATAATGAGAGGGCGTACTTATTACGCCATACTTTACCCCAGGTACTTCATACAGATGCACAAATAACGTGTAATTGGCAGATGCCCTTACCCAGCTCCCTACAAAACCAAACCAGTCAACGTGGACTCCTAGCGATGGCCCTATGTGACAGTCTAGGGCTGCCCCTGCTTCCGAGACTGTCACTCTCTACGGGAGTGGATGGCCCCACCTTGCTCCCAAGGAGCGCTGGCTGGTGCTCTCTAACTACTGACCTTGTGGCTGGCACCCAGAGTGTTCCCAGTGGGCCCCTCCCAGCTGGTGGGTGTCCCAAGATTGTGCTCCTGGGTTCATCCCTCCCCCGAGAAATCAGCCTGACAGCGTGGCTTCCCGGGCCCTGCTCTGGGGTGGATGTCGAAGGCACTTGTCAGAGGTCTGTCTCTCTTCAGAGTCAGCACTTCTGGTAGGGGTGGGTGGGGGACGCCTGCCGGGCAGGAACGCCTCTGCAGGGTACCCAGGGCAGCCTGCCGAGGGCCCCTGAGTCCCAGCAGCTGCAGCCCCTCCCCAGCTGTTGCGGTGTCTCAGCCCCTGGCTCCTTGGTCGGGGTGTGTTTCGGGACGACCTCCAAGCTGGGACTGGCACTTAGTGCGCCCCATCAGATGAGCAGTGCGGTTCTGGAGTGTCACCGTGAGCGCTCCCTCTCTTCCAGCATGGTCTCGTCTTACCTGGTGCATCATGGGTACTGTGCCACAGCCACGGCTTTTGCCCGAATGACTGAGACCCCGATTCACGAAGAACAGGCATCCATAAAGAACCGACAAAGTAAGATGGGGTCTCCCCTCCCACTGCCCTCCCTCTTCTGTCCCTGACTCTGCTCACCGGCTCCTGCTGGCTCACCTGTCAGGACTTCCTTCAGTTCTGGCCCTCACTGTCCTTGAGACCCGCCTAGCCTCGCCCCAGGCCCGGCTCCTGCCCCTCCTTCTGAGCCACCCTGCCCAGGAGGACAGTCTAGCAGCAGCCGGGGCCAACGGGGTGCAGACTGGGCCCTAGCGTGGCTCCGCTTCTCAGCCTCTGGTCCTTGGTCTTCTGCAAAGTCTGCGTCTTATCCGATGGCGGCCTCTCCCCCGGCACTCGACCTGAAAGGTTCTGTGTGGAGCTGCCACATAGGGTGGAGGCTGGTGCTCTTGGGGGTGGGGGCCTCCCCATCTGGTTCTGTCCCGGGCACTGTGGCCCAAGGGCGCTCCCCTGGTATGTGTCTGGGGCGCTCTCCCAGCGGGAGGGGTTCAGGGAAGGCGGAGGAGAAGCTTGGCAAGGAGGCCAGAGGCGAGGAGAGGAGACTCGAGCGTGGGCGAGTGGCAGTGTGCGTGGCTGTGTCTCTGAGCCTGCCGTCTCTGTATGTGCATGTGTCTGTGTCTCCCAGAGAAACTGCCCTCAGACAGACGGGAAGGGCTCCCAGACTTGGGCTCTGCAAGTGAGAGGGGCTCAGGCCCTGAAGTCGCTCCCTGCGAGACGTGCCAGGCCCCGGGGCGAGAGCCAGGAGGTGACAGCAAGATGCTCCAAGTAGCACAGCCGCCCCGAAGACCACCCCAGGCCCGGGTCCTGGCCCGGAAGCTGTTGCCCAGAACGCCAAGCCTCCTGGGTGCCCATCCCCAGATCGCTCTCCCGGGGTCGGGCTCCCTCCCCCAAGGCTCCTGGCAGGCCGCCTCCAGACTTGCCCTCCTGCCTCCTGCTGAGATGACCCCTGTGTCTGCCCCTCTGCTTGAGGTCTCCCTGTGTCTGGGCAGACACCATGCTCTTCTTCCCTTCCTCCAGTGGGGACTCAGCCTGGCGGTCT